GTCGGTGAGGTCGCAGAGGGCGGCGAGGGAGGCCGGGTCGCCGAAGTCCAGGGACGGGGCGGCGTTGGCAGACGCGTCGGCCGCCGCGGATGAGTCCGAGCGAGGGGAACGCGGGGTGGGCGCGGCGGACGGCACGGCCATGGATGCCGGGGGGCAGGGTGGATCGCAGTGAGTTCAGATGTGCGGGAAGGGAGAGGGAAGAGAAGGGAGAAAGGAGAAGCAGGGCGTCAGGGCAGCAGCTTGGAACTCTGACGGTCGCCGGCGTCATCCAGATGCGGCGGGGTCGCGCGCGGTGCTCGGATGGAGGCAACTGCGATGTGAGGCTCGGGAGGAGCTCCTCTGTCTCAACCCAGCGTGACGAGGGAGACTCGCCTGCAGGTCAAAACCGCCCATTGACCATTGCCATGTCAGCAATCAGTCAAGTCAAACCACCCAGGGACTGATTTTGTCCGGTATGAGATTGTTCAGGGGGTAAAAAGAACCGAAATAAAGATCAGGGTTTTATGTGAACCACCAACTTTGTTCAGGGTAGTAAAATGAACTTTTTTCTCTTATTAACCACTGTACATGTACGTAGAATCACTTTCTTGGGCAGTAATAATTCATTCCTGAGTCCTGACCTCAACTTCCAGCTATTGCATGACTTCGTGTTACAACTTATAACTACAAACACGATTTTACTCCACTCTTTCATGTGGAGTTATTTGCAGTTTTTTTCTAGAATACTGGAATTTCTAGCAGTAGTATTCGCTTTTCATCTTTTTAAAATTAAATAGAGAAGTTCTGATCAGTTGCTAACAATTTGATAGTATGCATGACATGATGTGCACGTACTTTTAATCAATCAATATATTCGTATGTTGGCTGATTGTTCTATTTTGACATCCTTTTATTATTGGTATGCTTGTAAACTTGTTGCATGTGTTATTGCATCTAGGATTTTGTTGAGGACCAATTTGGCCTCGGGTTGATTGCTTGGGCAGTTGAAGAAGGGATAGCTATCATAAAGCCTATGGGTATTATGATATTCAACGTGGATTATGCATCAATAAGCTCTGGCAAACAAACATTATGCAGGTAGCAATGCTGTGAAAGAGAATATTAATTAATCAGGAAATATTTTCCATGACAGCATTATCCTAGTGTTTGGTCAAGAATTTCGAGTTGCACAACAACATTTAGTAGGGCCTATAAATTTCATCTACCTGCTTATTCTATTTTGGCAACGGCATTTTTATTTTGATTACCAACTAGCTGGGTTGCTTACAGGCTTCTGATGCGGATATTTCAGCTTTAGTTGAAATTGAGAAAATTTACCCACATCATTTTGAGTTCTTCATGGATCTTCATGGGGATCAACCTGTCTCTGCATGCACTGCCTTGGCATACATGAAATCTGGTGGCCGTGTTTCGCATGCTTTCTCCGTGTATAGCTGTCAACTTCGCCAACCTAACCAGGTTTCTTTGCGTTGTCTTTAGCTTTATAAAAGCAATAATATACCAACGCAAATAGTACCAATTCAGAGAATTTTCAGGTGAAGAAGCTATTTGAGAGTTTTAAAAATGGACTTCATGAAGTCAGCAGCTCGCTCGATTTATCTTTTGATGATGATTCTGTTGCCGATGAAAAGATTCCCTTCCTAGTATACCTAGCTCATTTTTTGAAGGATGATAAGCCCAATCCTTGTGAGCCTCCAGCTGGATGTTTAAACTTTCGGAATATTGTCGCTGAATTTATGAAGAGCTACCACCACATCCCATTAACTCCTGAAGTAAGGCTTTGTGTCCATTTCATTTACAATTATGTCTGGTTATACTATAATTTGCAATATCAAGCTATTCGGTGCTTCTACCTTCTGCTTCATATGATACTTTTTTCTTTTTCTTTCCTGGTACACTAGGATGTTGTTGTATTCCCTTCCCGCGATGTGGCAATAGAAAATTACCTTCGACTGTTCTCACCATCACTCGCGATTGTCGATGAACATCTGACCAGACACTTGCCCAAGCAATGGTTGACATCTTCAGCAATCGAGGTACCTCTCTCTCTCTCTCTCCAACAAAAACGCACGCACGCATGCATTGGCAGCTTGTGCATGTTATGCAACACTTCTTGTTTGAGCAACATCTGATCTGAACTGAGTAGTGATATGTTCTTTTGCCTTCAAAGTTATCTTGTTTAACGGGAACAGTGGAAAATACATGCCTATCCTGTGAAGAAAAATGATGGTTCAAGAATGTTGATGCTACTGCTTCCTTTTGACACTGCAGGGGAGGGCAGATGTAACCGTGCTGAAGACACAGTCACTGTAATTGAAGCGCCATGCCGGTCAGATTTGCTGATTGAATTGGTCAGGAAGCTGAAGCCTCAGGTTGTTGTTACTGGCATAGCTCATTTTGAGGTTGTCACCAGTGCAGCTTTTGTGAACTTACTAAGCGCAACACAAGATGTTGGTTCTCGCTTATTCCTGGACATTTCAGAGCATCTGGAGTTATCTAATTTGCCAAACTCTAATGGTGTGCTGAAATATCTTGCTGGAAACACCCTACCTTCGCATGCAGCTATACTGTGTGGTCTAGTAAAAAATCAGGTGCCTGTAACTTGCCACATAAATTGTTTTATCCATTATGGAACGACTACACATATGCCATGTTAACTAGTACTCATTCCGTCTGGAATTACTTGTCGGTCGCTCAAACGGATGTATCTAGCACTATCATCCGCTTGAGCGACAAGTAATTCTGGACGGAGTGGGTATGATTTAGTTATGACGAGTTAAACAACTTGATCTCCCTCACCCTGGACCGGCCCCAGATGAGGGATGTGATCAATGGATAATCCAGTACTCCCTTACAAAGTTGAGACACTTATTTTGGGACGGAGGGAGTACATCATAAGATGACCATGAGTAAATACTCCTTCCGTTCCTAAATATAAGTCCTTTTAGAGATTCTATAATATGTCTTCACACGGAGTAAATTGAGTGAATCTACACTCTAAAGTATGTCTATATACATCCGTATGTAATCCATATTGAAATCTCTAAAAAGACTTATATTTAGGAACGAAGGTAGTAGATCGTACTTTAGCAGTGTTCTTTCCATGAAGGGGACTTGCAGCCCTGGAATTGTATTTGAACTTCTGTGCAGTCTTACACCTATGATAGGAACATCATCTAAAGGTTTCATTTCTATATGCTCTATCTTATTACTTTGGATTAAAAATTGCAGGTTTATTCTGATCTGGAAGTTGCTTTTGCTATTTCCGAGGATGCAGCTGTATGTAAGGCATTGTCACAAACTATTGAGATATTGGAAGGACATACTTCTGTGATTAGCCAGCACTATTATGGATGTCTTCTCCATGAGCTGCTGGCGTTTCAAATTGGCGACCAGCATGCACAACAAGAGGTAAGCAGAATTTTCCTTGTCCAGTTCTTCACCTTACTTGACCTGATGGTAACATCTCATGTCTGATACTCCTTCCGGTTTTAAATACAAGGCCACTATCAAAACTACAATTTGCATCTATATAAGGCCACTATCTCTTCCCTATAAGAACTGATTAGATGCTTGCCTCGTACAATGGTGCTTACTAATGCAAACGTTGCATCCAGCAATAGAGAAAGAGGCACCAGATGCAACATGTTTAATTAGCCCGGAATACGGGAGGTTTTTCTGTACAATTAATTGTGCTATTTATTAGTTGACTTTGTTTTCTTGGTATCTAAGAAATGGGATAGTGGCCTTGTATACAAAAACGGAGGGAGGGACTCTTTTTTAATGGACATTCCGCTCAGCATAAGTCAGTTAATTTCTGAATCTTGGATTAGTCCCTCCACTTAGTTGGATAACACCTACTCACAGTAAACAGCTAAATGTTTTAGCAGTAGGATGCTTGATTATTTTTCATCATAATATGTCCAGACACCTACAGAAAATCTCCCTGAAAGAGGGGCCCTATGGAATACTTGCTGATTTTAATGTTTATTTTTTGTTGTGCTTGCTTTCAATTATTTTCCCTTGCTCATTTTTCAGAGGCAACCTGCAGAAGTGACACCTCAGAAGATAATAGGATTTTCTAATTCAGCTCTGACTACCCTAGAAGAAGCTGAATTTTTTGTTCCCGAGTTAAAGGATTGTAGTGTCATTCATATGGATTTAGACCGCAGTTTCTTGTCAGTACCTTCTGCAGTGAAAGCCTCCATTTTTGAAAGTTTTGTGAGGCAGAACATCACGGATTCTGAAGCTGATGTCCGTTCTAGCATTGAAAAGCTGGTGGGAAATAACTATGGTTTACCAGGAGACGATTGTCCTGATATTGCAGAGTCCTCCTACCGTAAGGAAATTGTATATGGCAGCAGCTGTCTCGCACTCTTTAACAAGCTTATCATTTGCTGTGTGCAAGAACAAGGCACCTTCTTTTTCCCCATGGGCACAAATGGACACTATGTCGCAGCAGCGAAGTTTATGAACGCAAAAACCTTGACAATTCCAACAAATGTAGAGTCAGGCTTCAAGATTGAACCGATGGCTCTAGATGCAGCTCTAGAGGATGCCATTGAGAACAATAATGTATTCCGTCCATGGGTGTATATTTCTGGCCCTACAATCAACCCTTCTGGTTTCCTTTATAGTGATAACGAGATAAAAGATCTGGTCTCTGTTTGTGCTCATCGTTCAGCTCGGGTCGTGATAGATACCTCCTTTTCCGGTCTTGAGTTTCAAACTGATGGCTGGAGTCGGTGGAATTTGAGTACATTATCTTATGACATTTGCTTATGTTCCACACTAACTTATTTCATGCTCGGAGAGCTGTCTCTTCAGCTGACAGCGTCTGGCCTTGATTTTGGGTTTCTGATTTGTAGTAAGCCACCCAATGTGGAACTTAGTTTCGGAAGCTTGAGTCAGCCACATAAGACACTGAAGTACGCTTTTAGAAAACTGTTGGGTCTTAAAAACGAGTGGGATGGGCACTTCTCTAGTCCCTTCTATAGTCTCATCATGGAGCAACAGGACAAAGCTCAGGAATGGTTCGAACAAGTTCAAAAAGGTTAGCATGCTGTAACACTCTGAACTTCCCTCTCAATTTTTGCTTTCCCTCCGGTGCATAGTAAGGTATGTCAAGTGCATATGGATTATTCACAGCTGATAAGGGGAAATTCTCTAATATCATCATGGAGCAAAGGGAGAAACTCAAGAAACGTGCCAACAAGTTAACGAAGGTTAGCAGCTGTAACATTCTGAACCGCTCTATCAGTCTTGGCATTCCCTTTTAAATCTTAGATCAGAGATAAATATAGGACGAATCGTAGCCCCTAACTTGAGTAACTTGAGTTTTTGTTATCACTGACTGCATCCAGAAGTTAGTTGAGTCCATGCTATCACCTAAAATTCTAATTGCTACCACTAGGTAGACATACTTTCGCACAGCTTCAAGGAGGACTTTGGGTTTGACATGGTGTCCTTTTTTTGCTGCAATTTACAGACACTTGAGAGCTGTGGGTGGGATGTTGTCGGCGGTGATGGAGGTACCTCGATGCTGGCGAAACCGACGGCCTACATTAGCAGATCATTCAAGATAGACGGTTTTGAAGGCGAACTCGACGGCTGCAACATTAGGGAAGCCGTTCTTAGATCCACTGGTCTTTGCATAAGCAGTAGCAAATGGACCGGGATACCAGACTACTGCCGGTTCAGCTTTGCTCTGGAGAGCAGCGAATTTGAGCGGGCAATGGACTGCATAATCCGGTTCAGAGAGTTGGTTCTGGGGGAGGAACAAGGCTCGATCTGATGAAAGGGTAGTAAATGTCAAGATTGGGATTAATTGATTGCATGGAAGGTAAAACCTAAAGAAATACAATCGCCATTTTGTATCTTTTGCCCCCTTTTCTGTTGATTATAAATTAGATGGGAACTTCTTTTTAGAACTGAAATAAGATTAGATACTGAAAATTAATTACCGCCCCAAAAGATGCAAGTTAAGGCTTTGTGTCTCCTGAGAGTACTTACTACTTTACTAGTTAGGTATGTCAAGTCAATATGGTTTATTCACAGCTCATGTGAGACGAAATTAAGTGACTCATTTTCTGCATAAAGTTATGCACTCTGCATTTTCTGCATAAAGTTATGCACTCCGTATTTTCTGCATAAAGTTGTGCCTCTTACTGCTTCAATTTTTCTAGGTGTTGCTTCTTGCAGGATGCAGTTGTAAGATTGTGGTTTGTAGTTTTCTTTTTATTTTTGAAAGAGATGGTTTTTCCCTCTGACTTCTGTTACCAGAAACCAGAATAGCTACAATAAATTAGTAATTTTTTAATGAGTACTTACATTTATACATGTGATGGAATTTGGTTGCTCAAGCTACTGCAAAAAAATTCATTTGCTAAATAGCAACATGTTGAATTTCTTTTTGACTTAAATGATCTTCTTGACAATTTGAGTATGGTGCAGGTATGGTCCAGTGCACAGAGGGCGTCGTCAGGTAAGGAGTTGGGGCTTGTGAGAGAAATAATTCGGTGCAGGAGGGAAATTATAGTAGTGGAGAAGAATATGGGCCTTACACAGTCTGAAAAACATGAGAAGTATTCATGTGAAATGGACAAGAAATGACCATAATGGTATATTTTGGACCAGTAATTTGGAAGGAATTGGAGTGTCATCTATCCAATTATCTCTGCCATACTAGCTTATCGGTATATTTGCTTTGTCCCTTTTCATACGTCATTTTTGTAGGAGATAGGTGCTTCTTTTAAATTTATTTATTATTTTTCAAAGGCGTGAAATTTTAAAATTAAAATAATATCAAATTTGTGAACTTTTTCTTAAATTGTGAATCTTTTTCAATTTCAAGTGCAACTTTTTCTAATGATTTTCTTTTGTAAATCTTGGATTCTTTTTTAAAAAAATTGTGAACATTTTTTTCCAAAATCGATGACCTTTTATCAAATTCATGAACAGGCGCCTGGCTGGAGCGATGCCGTCGCCTAGTTTGGCCAAGGCCTAATCATTTTATTCTTTTGTATTTTTTGTTTTTTCGCTTTTTAAGTTAATTCATTTATCTCCTTGTTGAACTTTATTATTATTATTTTTTAAATCTGTTATTTAAAAAGAAATATGGAATACCTGAAAATGTTCTTGTTTTCAATTATTGTTTGTAATTTTAGAAATTGTTCTAGAATTTCATAAAATGTTTACATTTTTATTTTGTTTGTTCTCAAATTAAGAAATGTTTGTGTTGCAAAAAAAAGTTGATAAATTTCAAAAAAAAGTACATGGTTTGCTAATTTTGTTCAAAATTTTCATCAATGGTTGGGAATTTTTTAAGAATGTCGAGAGAAGGCGCTCCCAAACGGACTCTTCTGGCTTATCCGAAAACTCTTCGTTGAACATGATATTTTTTTAGAAATTATAGGATCGACCTCAACTTTGCAAACAGGTCGGCATGTCCATATTAGAGATCCACGCTTAGTTTGAATAACTTCTGATAGCGTATGCACGTTGTGACACGTCCAACCATTTATCAGCCTTTTTTCACCGAAACAACTTCAGAAAATGCAAAACATGTAAAAAAAAACCCAAGCAACTTGCCCTGGTGCCCTGAATCATACAAGGCCATGGATTATAATTTTTGGTTAATTTGACGTATGTAAGAATAAACATGCTCTCCAAGTGAGCCTTCTGGACATCTTTGAAATGACCTTACGTAACATGAAACCTATTAGTACATAGACCGCCTAATTGACACCAAAGAGTAAAATCTCCTTGTGCTTTTGCCACTAGGTTGGCATGTCCATGGTAGGCATGCATGCTAGGGTTGAATGACTTCCGACATCGTATGTATGTTGTGACACGTCTGGGCATTAATCAATCTTTTTTCACCAAGAAAACTCCAAAACATGCAAAACTTGTCAAAAACCTGAACAACTTGGCATGATGCCTTGAGTTGGTCATACAAGGCCATGAAATAAAATTGGGACCATTTCAAGGGTGTCGATAAACAACGTGCTCTCGGAGCCTTCTAGTTCTACCCGAACACCTTCCGTTGAACATGATCTATATTTGAACATCCTTCAAATGACCCCAATTTTTGCAAGCAAGTGAGCATAGTTGTATCAACGCATCATGCCCTCCTGTTTCTTTCATTGATGGTTAGTCATCTTAGTAAATTGGTGTAGACCAGAGTTTTCAAAGCAAGCAGAAAAATGCTCTCACACTTTGAAGTAAGAAACAATCTTGTATTTCTTTACGGAGGGAGTACTTGTTTTCCTCCGTCGACATGTGGGTGTGACACAGAAGAAAGGGGGTGGGGTTCTCACACTCTCGAGTATCTGATACTCCTGGAGTACAAATAGAAGTATGGCTGGTGTGCCTGCATGTAATCCTATGGCACAACCTATACGTTGGGCCAAACTCAGTTGATATAATCACTTTCACCCTTCAGGAGAACATGATTAAGTCGTCGCTCCTACAAAAATGAAAGTGCAATTACACAAATAAATGTGTAGTTGTCCCAAAATGAAGTGCAATAGGATAAAACAAATTAAATAGATTAACCCTTCTCCTTTTTTTAACATAACCAGATAAATCCAGTTGCATGAATAAATGTGTAGTTGCCAAAAATTGAAGTGCAACTGGAACAAACAAAATAAATAGATTAAACCTTCTCATTTTTTTAACAAAACAAGACAATCATAAAAATGTGAAAGTGTCACATCACTAAAAACAAATTAAGGACCAAACTGGCAGAGTGGTATAATTAGTTTGCATGTAACCACCTACCTGCCTACCATGTCTAGCTTAAGATCGAAAGAATGTAACAAACACTAAGAAAAGAGTAGCCTAAAAAAGGAATGTAACCAATGTCTACTCTAACATAACCAGGGTTCTGCTATATCATGTGCATGTGAAGAAGAAATCTCTAAGTAAAAATCCCTTAGACATTTTTGCCTATGTAAATTCGCTTCCAAGTTATTGGAAAAAAGACATGGCTATGCATATAGGTTAAGCTATATCTTGTGCATGTGAAGAACAAAAACAATATTGCTGTTTGTGGCTATACAAAGATGATAAGGATGCAAATACTATTCATTGGATAAAAACAATCTAGATCCACAACTATGCCTACCAGTATAAAAAATAAAGTGATATATATTGGACGCGACTAGAACATATGGCTGATTGAAGTACTGAAGTTCTAATCTTTTTTTTAACCCCGCCATGAAAGGGAAATTACGCAGAGAGAAAATGCAATTGCATGAATAAATGTGTAGTTGCACCCAAAAAATGAAGTGCAATTGGAACAAACAAAATAAATACATTAACCCTCCTCACGTTCTTTAAAAAAATGATAGCAAATAAAAGTGAAAGTGCAACCACACTAAAAACAAAGAAGGACCAAAGTAGTAGAGTGGAATAATTTGTTCGCGTGTAATCGCCTACCCGCTTACCATTCCTAGCTTAAGAAAGAATATCACAAACATTAAAAAAAGACCCGCCTAACAAAGGAATGTAGCCAATGTCTACTCTGATAAAAACCAGGGTTATGTTATATAGGTTATGCTATATATCATGTGCTTGTGAAGAAAATCTCGCTTCCAAGTTATCGGAAAAAAATTGCCAAAAAAAATTATTCAAAAAAAAACAGGGTCATGTAGGTTATGCTATATCTTGTGCATGTGAAGAGAAAAATACGTCAAAAGATATGACTGTTTGTGGCCTATACAAATACGAGGAGTATGGAAAAAATATTCACTTATGCAAAGAGGATAAGAAAAATTAAGATCCACAACTGTCTATAAAAACAAAAAATGCAATTGCTCCAGAATATGAAGTGCAATTGGAAGAAAGAAAACAACAAAACCTGATTTAAAAAAGAGGGTCACTTGGAAACAAAAGAAGGACGGGATTGGCAGAGTGGTATAACTTGTTTGTGTCAAAAACAAACTACGTACCTACCTCACTACCTGCCTACCATGTCTAGCCCAAGAAAGAATGTAACAAACGTCCAAAAAGGAGACTAGCCTAAGAAAGAAATATAACCAATGGTCTACAAGGAATTTTGTTTACTTTTATAACTCCCCTTTTCTCTCTGTTTCCTTTAGTATTAATGGACCGTGCATCCACCATGCGATGATTAGTTTGAATGCTTAATTATAGTGGTGATACATTCGCAGTAAATTCGTTGGCTCCATTAAAATTCTACCGTCATAGAAAAATAGTCCGATTCAAGATGAAGAAAGTTGTGCACGATGTAAGTGTGTAACCGAGGTTGTGTGTATAGTAGTACTCCCTCCGTAAAGAAATATAAGAACGTTTAGATCACTACGGAGGGAGTACTTGGGAGTGAGAGCAGTTCATGTATGTGTTTGCTTAGCAAGGGTGCTATTATGCTGTGTGTGCCACGGCAAGGTCGAGGAGTACATGCATATAACTATATAAGCAACCAGCTTAAGCAGCTGATTAGCTAACATATCAAGTAAACCTACTCTTTTTTTTGCGGGGAGGCAGAGTTGTAAAAAGTTTGTGTGCATTACCTGCCTACCATGTCTAGCCCAAGAAAGAATGCAAGTAACAAACACCAAAAGAAAAAAAAATGGCTCGCCTAAGAAAGAAATGTAACCAATGCCTACCCTAATATAACCACGGGATTCTTAAATGAGCTGTGATGCATGTTCTCGAATTTCTACTCTAGCATAACCAGCTGGGCTCTGAAACAAGGTGCCAATGTTCTGTGAAATGAAGAAACCTAACCAACGAGCCAGCGAGCAAGCAGCAGTGCGTTGGTTCTCCTAT